GGCACCTGCTGCTCTTGTTCTGTGAACTCTGCTGTCTGTGGCACCTGCTGCTCCTGTCCTTGTTTAATTGCTGCTATTCTCACTTTCTCCCCAGTAGTCTTGATAGTTTTATCTACTTTATAGCATATTCTTCAAGGAGCAGCTTTTATGTTTATTCATTGTCTCCAGCTTTTCTTTATTTTCCAGTTCATGGAATTTCTATTCTTTTTCTTTTGATCTTCTAATTTATTTAGGTTATTCTTTTTATTCTTTTGAGACAGTCTCATTTTGTCACCCTCGGTAGAGTGCCTTGGTTTAAGTGCTCACAGCAACCTCAAACTCTTGGGTTTAACTGAATATCTTGCCTCAACCTCCCGAGTAGCTGGGACTACAGGCACCTGCCACAATGCCTGGCTATTTTTAGAAACAAGGTCTTGCTCTGGCTCAGGCTGGTCTTGAACCTGTGATCCACCCTCCTCGGCCTCCAAAGTGCTGAGATTACAGGTGTGAGCCACTGCGCCTGGCCCTTTATTTAGGTTATTTTAGAATTATTTCTTGGTTTAAATACTTGATTTACTTATTTTCATTTTTTCTTGCTTAATAAATGCATCTTGGGCTATAGATCTCTCTCCATGGATTTCTTTAGCTACATCTTTTAATTTTTTTTTTTTTAAGACATCTCTTGCCATCCCCCAGGCTAGAGTGCAGTGGTGTGATCATAGCTCACTGTAACCTCGAATTCCTGAGCTTAAGTGATCCTCTTGCCTCAGCTTCTCCTGGCTAAATTAAAAAAAAAATTTTCTGTATAAATGGAGTCTCGCTATGGTGCTCAGGCTGGTCTCAAACTCCTGGTCTCAAGTGATTCTCCAGCCTTGGCCCCACAAAGTTCTGGGATTACAGGTGCGAACCATGCCTGACCCTTAATTTTGATATTTAGCATCATCATGGGGCTTCAGTTCTAAATATTCTGTGTCTTTCACTGTGATTTCCTCTTTACACCACAAGTTGTTGAAGAGTTTTTAAAAGTTCATATTTATCTTTATAGTATAATATTCTCTCCATTACTGATTCTGATCTCATCGCCTTGTACCCAAGAAGAGCAGACCCTGTTGTGTTCTGTGGAATTTCCTGTGTTGCCTGGCATGTGGACAAATTTTATAACTATTCTGCGTGTACTTAAAAAGTTTTGTTTTCAAGTCTTTGATGATGGTGTGAACTTTCAGAGTGGTTGCTGTTTCTGGCAGAGAAGCGTGAGCAGCCCCCGCTGTGGTTCTGGTCTGCTGGACGCTGTGCTCTGCAGCACAGCCGCCTTCTCTTTGGGGGTATCCGCCTTCCTGGTAGATTTTGTCCTGTGGTTGTGTTCATGTTGTCTCCCTTTTCACCCCCATCAATGCATTTGGTTCAAATTATATTTTATCTAATTTCCTTCTTCTTTTTTGGAAACGGAGTCTCACTTTGTTGGCCCTTGGTAGAGAGAGTGCTGTGGTGTCACAGCTCACAGCAACCTCAAACTCTTGGGCTACGTGATTCTCTTGCCTCAGCCTCTCAAGAAGCTGGGACTACCGGCACCCACCACAATGCCTGGCTATTTTGTTGGTGTTGTTGCAGTTGTCATTGTTGTTTAGCAGGCCCGGGCTGGGTTTGAACCTGCCAGCCCTGGTGTATGTGGCCAGCGTTGTAACAACTGAGCTATGGGCACTAAGCCTCTAATAGCCTTCTTTCTAAAATTTATTTATAACTGCCGTTTACCCCACACCAGTTTCCCTTGCGCCATGGGTCACATGCTTACTATGCATCTTCTAGTTTGTATGAGGCTGTGCAAATGGGGATGGTTTTGTTTTGATGCACTTAGCACTTTTTTTGTTTTTTGAGGCAGAGTCTCACTCTGTCTCCCTGGGTAGAATGCTGTGGTGTCACAGCTCATAGCAACCTCAGGCTCCTGGGCTCAAGGGATCTTCTTGCCTCAGCCTCTCAAGTAGCTGGGACTAGAGGTGCCTGTCACAATGCCCAGCTAGTTTTTCTTGTGTTAGTAAAGGCAGGGTCTCTTTCTTGCTCAGGCTGTTCTTGAACTTCTGAGCTCAAGCAATCTACCCACCTTGGCCTCCTGGAGTACTAGGATTATAGGTGTGAGCCACTGTGCCCAGCCCAGAATCTATGCTTAACATCTCAATTTATCTTTCAAAGTTTTCTGTTTTTTTTTTGAGACAGAGTCTCAAGCTGTCACCCGGCTCACAGCAACCTCAAACTCTTGGGCTTAAGCGTTCTCTTGCCTTAGCCTCCTAAATAGCTGGGACTACAGGGGCCCACCACAACACCCAACTATTTTGTTGTTGTTGTAGTTGTAGTTGTAGTTGTTATTGTTGTTTAGGTGGCCCAGGCTGGGTTCGAATTCAGCAGACTCGGTGCATGTGGCAGGCGCTATAACCACTGTACTACAGGCATCAAGCCAAAGTTTTCTGTTTTCATTGATTTCTTCAGTGCTATCTTCTATTTCACAAAGTCTCTTTTACCTTGTCAAGTCTGGAATTCATCCTATTAGTTTACTATTCATCTTCAAGATTTATAATTATTTCTGTTTCTTATCTCCTTTTTTATGTGCTGGCCAGTTGTAATTTTTCAATTTCTTATTTTTAATCTTTAGGTATCTTCATCATATTACTGAAGTTTTAATGTGTTTGCCAGATTTTGTTAGCTGGAATAAATCCCTGTACCAATTGTCCAATAAATCCCTGTATTTTTATTGTTTGGGATTCATTGAGGGTACAAAGAATTAGGTTAACTGATTGCAGTTCTTAGGTAAAGTCCCTCTTATAACTGTGTCCTGCACCCAAGAGGTGTGCCATGGACCAAGACACCGCCATCTCTCTTTCTTAGTGTGATGTTTATTTGGGTAATTTGGAATGTTGGCTTGCTGGCTCATTTTAAGGTGCGGCTATTGTGTCTACACATTTCTGTCTTTGTTTGTCATCGTTCACTGTCCAGCAGTGTTTTGTAGCCTCTGCCCCATCCCTGGCCCAGGCTTCTGCTCTGCTGTGATAACAGAGGGTGCTGAACATAAAACCCCCCTGTCGGAAGACAGCTTGTTTCAGTTCTGCTCTGAAGGCTGTGCCAACGTCCTCTCGTCTTCCTCTGCAGCTCCCCATGAAGTTATAACAAGTTATAGTGTTAGGATATGTCAGGAGGTCCCCACCCGTCACTCTCAGAGCTGGACCCCAGGCCTCTCTGCTGCCTCAGGACTCAGAGCCAGGGGAGCCTTGACTCAGCCCACTCAGCACCCTGTGATTCTCTTCCATTCCTGGGTTTATGTATATAAGTGTGTATGTGTTTGCGTGTGCTTGTATATATGTGCAGGGACATGTGTGCACACACACATCTGTCCTAGTTTTCTCTCCCTCCCTCCTTCTCTCTCTCTCTTTCTACATATGTGTGTGTGTGCATGCGTGCATGTGATATATAACCTGCCATGCTCAGAGGGTCCTCATCACACACCTTGCTCAGGAGGGTGAACATCCTCATTCAAATGTACATGGTACCTGTTCACCCACCCAGTAGGGTCCCTCTTTTTCCATGATGAATCTGAGGGTGACTAACCTGCCCCGGGATGCAGGAAGGCCCGCTCGACCTGGCCCTCTGACTCCAGCCTGCATCTTTTCTGGCATGCGTGTCAGCCATCTGAGGAGCTGTGTGGGACGGCTGGAGGGCGTCTGCTGCCACCAC